GTAATTGCTTTACACTGAATTGACTTCTGCCATACGTCCACATGAATCGACCATAGATATACATGTGTCCCCTCTTCAACCTCCTTCCCACCTCCCACCTTGAACTTACACTTTCAGCCCTACTACTTTCAAAGATGTTTATTGGACTGTGGTCCATTTTTGTGCTTAAAGATCTATTACTGATGATCTCCTCACATTTCTTGACTACCAAAGTATATATTTACTTTAAAAATGTTTAAACTTAACTTCCTGTGACCTTAAGGCTCTGAGTGTTCAAAACAACACTTTGACTGAGTTAACATTACAACTACTAGTAGCACATGGCTGATTAAAATGACAAACTTTGACAATTGAAAGTAACATTTTAGTGGACATTTATGACTTACCCTTTCAAAATTTTATTGAAAGCAAAGAACTGCAAACTCCTTGATGTGATCTTCAAACTGGCAGTTGTCAATTAACACCCAGGCCCCAACCACTAGGACGGAAGGTAACAGGGGAAACTTTTTTCTCCCAACAGAGTTTATGTGTGTGTGTATTTGTGTGTGTGGAACAGTATCTGTTTCATGACCAAGAACCACCTCAATTTTGCCCCTCGCATGATGGGGAAACTGGACAAAGTATACTTGGGATGTCAACTCTACCCTGGATATTCAGGTAAAGCTGGTTCCCTGGAAGTCTTCCACCCCAAGTGGTCTTCATACACCTAGTTTAAAGATCACTGTTCTCACCACTTCAGAATATGTTTTTAAATATTCACATAATAGTGAAAAAAACACAACATGCATATATACATACATATACAATACACATGGATAGTTTACATTTATATATATATATAAATATATATACATACACACATACATATATATTTACACACACACACACACACTGCCAAACAGGAGACGTGGGTTTGATCCCTGGGTCTGGAAGATCCCCTGGAGAAGGAAATGGCAACCCACTCCAGTACTCTTGCCTGGAGAATCTCATGGACGGAGGAGCCTGGTGGGCTACAGTCCACAGGGTCACAAAGAGTCGGACCCGACTTGGCGACAAAAGAGCAACAGAAGCAGGATAGAAATGGGCTTCAGTGGTTTTTTAAAAACTCCCCAGCTGATTCTAAAGCACAGTTGAGGTTGATGATGACTGGATTAAGGCTAAAAGGAAGGAGGAAAAAATTCCATAAAAGCATCATAATCAGTGCAGACTCCTGCTTACACTGGGACCACAGCGTACTATGCTTTGCTTCGTTTTTTCCTTTTGTGCTGGAAGGAAAAACCAGCACCTCTCCCAGGAACTCTGAGACATGGTATTATCTGAGAATTTGGGGACAGGGAAAGTGTACTGTCTCATGCAAAGGTCAAACTGATAGTATTTAGACTCAAAGGAAACATGCTTTTATTTTTAAACAATTTTTAAAAGCAATTCAATGCAGCTATTTTAAGTGTAGCACCCTTAGGTTCTATATTAGTAGTTGTTCTTCTTCCTCTATAAGTAAGCAAGCCTTGTTTTCCTCTGGTTGCTTTAAAAGATTCTTCTGTTTATTACTGGTTTTCAGTAGATAGAAAAACAAGAGAAAAAAAAAAATCAATAAACCGAAAGTTGTTTCCTTGAGAAAATCAACAAAATTGGCAAGTCTTTAGCCAGAAAGGCCAAGGAAAAGAAAAGAGACTCAAATTATCTAAAACAGAAACAAAAGAGGAGACATGTACAAAACTTCAGTTCAGTTCAGTTCAGTTCAGTCACTCAGTCATGTCCGACTCTTTGCGACCTCATGAACCGCAGCACGCCAGGCCTCCCTGTCCATCACCAACTACCGGAGTTTACTCAAACTCATGTCCATCGAGTTGGTGATGTCATCCAGCCATCTCATCCTCTAGAGAAATGAAAAGGATTATAAGGGAATACTATGAACAACTGTATGCTAACAAAACAGATAAATGGACAGATTCCCAGGCAAACACAAGATACTGAAACTGATATACGAAGAAATGGAAGATATAAGCAAAGCGATCATCAGCAATAGAATTCGAGGGTAAGCTGGCATAAGGCTGGAATAGAACAGAATTGAAAATCCAGGGAATTCCCGAGCTGTCTGGTGGTTAGCACTCAGCTCGTCCTCTGCTGGAGCATGGGTGTGATCCGTGGTTAGGGAACTAAGATGCCACAGGCTGCGTGGCATGGCAGAAAAAACAAAAATGAGAATACAGATATAAACCCTCACACTCATCGTCAACCTTTGACAAGGTGACTACACAATTTAGTGAGGAGAAACAGTCTTTTTAACAAACAGTGTTGAGACAACTGAACTCCACATGCAAAAAACGAACTTGGAAGCCTCCTTAAGCCATTTACAAAAATTAATGCAAAATGGATCAAAGACCCAATTGTAAGAGCTGTAAAACTCTTATAAGAAACACAGGCATAAATCTTGATGACCTTTAATTAGGCAAGGGCTTTTCAGATATGATGTGAATAGGAAAAGTAACAGCAACAAAAAAGAAAAACTGGATTTCACCAATAGTAAAAAAAAAAATTCTGCTTTGAAGGACATCATTGAGAGCCAAAGCAACCTTGAGGAAAAAAAAATGAAGGTGGAGGAATCAGGGTCTCTGACTACAGTCTATACCACAGAGGTTCAGTAATCAAAACAGTATGGTACTGACACAATAACAGAAGTATAGATCAATGAAACTGGATACAAAGTCCAGAGATAAACCTAAGTGCGCATCTACGACGCCTAATCTATGTCAAAGGAGGCAAGAATATAAAATGGAGAAAATACCGTCTCTTCAATAAGTGGTGCTGGGAAAACTGGACAGCTACATGGAAAAGAACACTTTTACATGAACACTTACAAGAACACTTCCTAACACTACACCCAAAAACAAACTCAAAGTGGATTAAAGATCGAAATGTAAGGCCAGATACTATAAAACTCCTGGAGGAAAACACAGGCAGAACGCTCTCTGATGTAATTTGCAGCACAATCTTTTTTGATCCACCCCCTAGAGTAATGAAAATAAAAACAAAAATAAACAAATGGAACCTAATTAAACTTAAAAGATTATGCACAGCAAAGGAAACCATAAAGACAACAAAAAGACAACCCCAAAGAATGGGAGGAAATTTTTGCAAATGAAGTGGCCAACAAGGGACTCTCCAAAACAAACAAACTGCTCATTTAGCTCAATATGAAAATAAACAACCCAATTTAAAGTGAATAGACATTTCTCCAAAGACATACAGATGATCAAAAAGCACATGAAAAGATGATCAGCATCACTGATTTATGAGAGAAGTGCAAACCAAAAGTACAGTGAGGTATCACCTCACACTGATCAGAATGGCCACCATCAAGAAAGCCTACCAACAAGGAATTCTCTGGCAGTCAGTGGTTAGGACCCTACGCTTTAAATGCTGAGGGTTCAGGTTTGATCCATGGTCAGGGAATTAAGATCCCACAAGCTGCCTAGTGCAGCCATCAACAACAAAAAATCTACAAGCAGTAAGTGCTGGAGAGGGTGTGGAGAAAAGGGAACCCTCCTCACTTGCTAGTGGGAATGTAAATTGGTACAGCCACTATGGAGAATAGTATGGAGGTTCCTTAAAAAACTAAACATATGTACCACAGCTTCTTTATCCATTCATCTGCTGAAGGTTGGATGCATGAGACAAGTGCTCGGGCCTGGTGCACTGGGAAGACCCAGAGGCATCGGGTGGAGAGGGAGGTGGGAGGGAGGATCAGGATGGGGAATACATGTAAATCCATGGCTGATTCATGTCAATGTATGACAAAACCCACTACAATATTGTAACCAGCCTTCAACTAATAAAAATGAATGAAAAAAACAAAACAAAACAAAAACAAAAAACTAGAGTTACAATATGATACAGCACTTCTACCCCTAGGCATATATCCAGAAAAAAGTGTAATTTGAAACGCTATATGCACCCCAATGTTCATTGTAGTGCTATTTGTAACAGTCAGGACATGGAAGCAATCTAAATGTCCGCTGACGGAGAAATGGGTAAAGAGGATGTGGTGCATATATACACTGGAATATTACTCAGCTGTAATAAGAACTAAGTAATGCCATTCGCAGCAACATGGATGGACCTAGAGACTGTCATGCTGAGTGAAGTAAGTCAGAGAAAGATAACAGAGAAGGCAGTGGCACCCACTCCAGCACTCTTGCCTGGAAAATCCCATGGACAGAGGAGCCTGGTGGGCTGCAGTCCATGGGGTCGTGAAGAGTCAGACACGACTGAGCGACTTCACTTTCACGTTTCACTTTCATGCACTGGAGAAGGAAAGGGCAGCCCACTGCAGTGTTCCTGCCTGGAGAATCCCAGGGACGGCGGAGCCTGGGGTCACACAGAGTCAGACACGACCGAAGCAACGTAGCAGCAGCAGAGAAAGATAAATATCATGATATCACTTACACATGGAATCTCAAACCTAGCACAAAAAAACTTACTTACAAGACAGAAACAGACTCACAGACATAGAAAACAAATGTATGTTTACTAGAGGAGAAGCAGAGGTGGACTAATTTGGAGCTTGAGATTGACACATGCATGTTACTATATACAAAACAGAAAGCGAATAAGGACCTAGAGGGTGGCACAGGGAAGTCTCCTCGATACCTGTGATGGCCTGTGCGGGGAAAGAACCTAAGAGGGTGGACATACGTAATGCAAACATGACTCACCTGGCTCTACACCTGAAATGTGCCATATAAACAATTCACTTGAAGCACAACACTGTATATCAACTACACGCCAATCAAATGTTAAGTTGCCTAAAAAAGAAAAAACTTAACAATGTAAAAAGATAACCCACAAAATGAGACATTTGCAAATCATATATCTGATAAAAGTTTAATATGCAGACTATATGAAGAACTCTTATAACTTATAGACATTTCCTCAAGGAAGATATACAAATGGCAAATAAGCACATGACAATATGCTCAATACCATTAGCTATCAAAATTTCAGATAAAACCACCATGAAATACCACTTCACAAACCATCAGGATGGCTATAATCAAAAAGTCAAATATTAAGTGTTGGTGAAGATGTTGACAAACCGGAGCAATGTTGTTGAGAATGCAAAATGGTGTAGCCACTTTGAATTTTTCTTTCTTTAGTTTCTTTTGCAATGTCTTTAAGTTCATAGATCTTTTAATCAGTGTCCAATCTTTTAAGCCCCTCCAGTGATATTGTATTGTTTCACTGCTACAATTTCCATTTGGTTCTTTTTTTATATCTCCAAATCCTCTCATCACCATATCCATGTTTTTCCTTAGGTATTTGAGTAGATGGATAAAAACTATTTAAAAATCTTTGCTAATCCCATTGTCAGTCATTTCTGATTGCTTTCTATTTATCAGTGTTTCTGCTGACTATGATTCATATTTTCCTAATTCCTTCCATGAGTAGTAACTTTTTTAATGGATTGACATTGCAAACTCTACATTGTGAACAGTTTAATTTTGTTAGTTCCTTCAGGGTGGGTTACTTCTGGATCATGCTGCTCCTTTCAAGGCTTGTTATTAAGCTTACGGGTGGGAGTTTAAGGTAATCTTTACTGTGGGCTAGTTTAGCTCTCCTGCCAAGATGCGACCCTTCTGAGGTGTCTAGTGAATGCCCTAAATTTCTCTCTCCATTCTGGCAGCTCAGAACACAAATGTTTCCCAGCCCTTTTGCGCTCTGGTAACTGTTCAGCTTGCAACTCCCCATTCTTTGCCCAGCCTTAAGAGGTTTCAGCAGGACATGCAAGGAAACATCTGTGGAGACTTTTGTGGCTGTTCCTTTGTGTAACTCTTTCCTCAATTTTCTGCCCTACAAATTCTAGCCCCCTCTGCGAACTCCCACTGCAACCTAGTAACAGGACTGTGCCTTGACTGGGATTCCCCTCTTCTCTGCATTTTAGCTTGGAAAGTGCCCATTATGGACTGTGTTCCCCCAGATTCATATGTTGAAGCCCTAACCCTCAATGTGACTATATATCAGAGACAGGGCCTTCACGGAGATAAAGTTAAATAAGGTCATAATGGTACAGCTTTAATCCTCTAGGTTGGTGTCCTTTTAAGAAGAGACACCAAAGATCTCTCTCTCTCCATGTGGGCACAGAGGAAATGGCATGTGAGGACACAGTGAGAAGACGGTCGTCTACAAGCCAGGAAGAGAGGCCTCACCAGAAACCAACCCTGATAGCACCTGACCACTTTATAGTCTCCAGAGTTGTGAGAACGTAAGTTCCTGTTGCTCAAGCCACCCAGTCTGAGGGGTTTTGTCAGGGCAGCCTGAGCCGGCGAAGACACAGTGCCAGGAGAAAGCCTGAACGTGCCGGTTCATCGCTATGCTCTTTCCCTTGGGGATCAGTCCCGTACTGCCTGTTGTCCAGTTCCTCAAAGTAGTTGTTTCACAAATCTCATCTACTTTTGATCATCTATTCAGGAAGTTTAGTCAGTCTGTTACTCTATCATGGCCAGAAGCATGAATTCCCTTGTAACATGTTTTTTTTTTTTCTTTTTTTTTCGGTCTTCTAACCAAATGATCTTCAGAAATTCTTGGCATAGTAAGAGATGGAGAGGTACAACCCCATCGTGAGGGACCACTGAGAAGTCTTTAGTCACCGCCCATTATCCTCCGGAGAAAAGCAAGTGTATTACACCATCTTGAGTGCTACAGGAGAGGGGACTCTGTACATCAGCATATCTGGCAGCTCAGTACAGGCTCATCAAGATTTCAGACTTCAGGAGGACAAGGCTCTTAGGTCCACTCATACTTGTACTGAGTTCTCGTTCAGTCCAAGAGAGCAATCAGGTTAATATCCATCATATGATTTTCCTTGGAGTAAGAAAAATTAATTCCCTACACAAATATCTAGCTGTATCATTCCTGAAATGAACATTCATAGGATACACAGAGTATTGTCCCCAGAGACTAAAGCCACTATTGTGTCCTGAGCTGGGTCAAAAGGGCACGGATGGGTTCTTAAAAACAAAAAACAAGAGGGACTCACTTCCCTGGCAGTCCAGTGGTTGAGATTCCACCATTCCACTGCAAGGGGAATGGGTTTGATCCCTGACTGGGGAACTAAGATCTAGCAAGCTGCATGGTGCAGCCAAAAAACCCCACAAGAATAATTACATTAAAACTCCAGACACTTTTAATTACAATAAATTTCATGCACTCTGGGCAAGACAGGCTCCTCAGCCAATGAGCAGAAAATAGATACAAAAAGAAACTTAAATGATACCAAAGGTTAAAAGTTATGTTGTAAACATGAGACTTTCTATTTAAGGAGGGTAATTCTAAGGGAATATAAATTTTAGCATGAATCTAAACCCCAAAGTAAAAGAAAACTCCAGAATATAAAGGGACTATGACCACAGAAACTGAGAGTTATAACTGCATAAATCACTGTGTGTTTGTCTCCGAGGTCAAAGATACTGAAGAGATGCTATGAGGGCACCAGGATATGCTTAGAGCCTCTGCCTCGCCTCCGCTTCAGCCCCCCACACCCTCGCTAGAGCCAAAGCACCTCAACACCCAGATCTGATCCTACTGCTCACCTGTACAAAGCCCCTCCTTGGCTATTATCCATAGAACGCAGCCGGATTCCTCAGCTCTCAATGCCCTCTACCATCTTCCCCCCAACCTCGTGTTCCAGCCCATTCCCCATCACGTCACTCACCCCTCTTCCTCCCCCTCCCTCCCAGACACCTACCCTCAATGATCCTTCCCTGCAGGAATGATCAGAGACTCTGTGCCTCTGCACTGTCCCATCTCCAAAATCCTGTTCCTCTTGTCTTCCCAACATGCCTCCCTCATTTACCAAAAATTCTGTATTCAAGGGCTTAGAGCCAATGCCCCACCCTCTACTTCTGTAGTCCCCTTTGTTAGGCTTCTTTTACTAGGACTTACTATTTTGTGCTGTGTTTGACTGGAACTATAAACTCCCTGAATGCAGCAACTGCATTATACATCTTCACAATTGTTAGCCTCCACATGTCCTGGCACAAAGAAACCTCAAAACATGATTTAAGAAGCTAAACAAACATCATTCTCAAATTGGAATATTAAAAGAACACAGTTGCCTTTCAAGTGTGGATTCGCTTGTCCTTCCTACAGACTCCAAAGCTATTCCCCACCACCCTCTCAGTCAGCCTAAGAGGAGGTGGAAGCCTGGAGGATTTAAACCCAGGTTATTTTGTTAGAAGACGTTTCTGGACTCTATTAGTCTGAAATATTAATCGTCTTTTACCACCCAACTCATAACTACAAATCTCTCCAGGGGAAAAAAACATTCCTACACAAATGCTAGGCTGTTTTTAAACTTACGTACCTCAAAGCTGCTTCTGGTCATGGTTCACTTGCCCACACAAGTGCCAAGGAAATCGGGACTTCCCCAGGAAACCATGTGAAGCCTCTTTCTGTACCCCGTTCTGTGCTCTGCAGTGGCCCACTACCAAAGTCCTTCTCTTCTGTCCCTAATCAAAACCAGAAATTATTTACTAACAGCCATTTCTTTGTTGGCTTGACAAGTCTTTTCCCACAGAAATGTCTGTCACCTTCAATTTAGTTCCTTATTTTTGGAATCAAAGTCTTCCTCTGTCAAAGCAATTTTAAACTTCAACATGTTAAAACTACTCAGGGAAGCAAATGAGACCCTTGAAACTATACCAGGCCTCCTTGATAGGAAATCCTTTCAGTCTCAGCTAGAAGAGAACTTCCGTCTCCCCACTCCACCCCACCACCAACCCCGGGTCCCCGCTAAAGGCTGTGGCTCCCAGGATCCATTCCAGTATCCTAAGTAAGCACATGCTGGTCCACTGTCTCTGTCTCCCAATCTTCTCCTTTCCCAGCACCCTCCTCCCACATTCCTAACAGCTGCCCTACTAAATTTTGACCCAAGATTATTCTTTGTTGTGGGAATGGGTCATGGCCACTGTAGAATGTTTCATAACATTTCTGGCTCTACCAGCTATACACTAGGAGTTACACACCACACCCTCCCAGGAGTGACAATCAAAAAAGTCTCATCCCCAGTGTCTCCTGGAGAAAAGCCCAGCTGAGAACCACTGCCTTAACCAAACCCATTCCTCCATCCAGCCATTCATTCACAGGCAGCATTTATAAAACCAGCATTTTAGCCTTCCTCAAGACTTTCAGAGGCTTAGGTTTCCAGCATGTTCGTCATTACTTCACTCTGGCCAGTATTTAATTGGTTTCTTGGCACTTTACCTCTCTTTAACATTTTAAAACTCACAGCTACGCTTCTCACATTATCTTCCACATGCCTCTTCTGGATGCAAATTTCCTGGAACACATCCTCTTCAGTTACTGTAATAAACCTTAAGTATAATGCTGTAGTGCATATTATGTATAAACTTCATGTACGTTTAAAGCAAGTGACTATAATGTGTACATTATGTATATTTTAAAGCAAATGACTCCATGTTTCCTAAGATAATGGGTACAAACAGGCGCACCCCCCCCCCCGCAAAGAAAAACAAGCCCCAGAATGCAAATTTTAAGATTTAGGGAGTTATTAAGAACAATAAAAATCTTTTCAAAAGTAACATGAACAATTTGGAATGCATTTCTTGCACGGATTTTGAAATAGGTCTTTGGCAAAATTTGTGTTTTGCAAAGTCACATCAAGCCAATCCTAGGAAGACCTGTGCTTCAGCACAAAGGTTGACAGGCCCTACGGTAATGGGTTGGAGCACCTTCTTTGAATTAAAAGTACAAGAACTCCAAACTCCAACTCAGACAGGTGCAGTATTTTCAAACCCATCTGACAGACGAGCTTTGCCTTCCCTAGGACTGGTACCCTCCTTCTTTGGCAGTTCTCATTCATGTAAAGGAAGGAAGGAAAGTGGTCAGGAAAACTGTGATTCCTAACTTCCTTCTGGGGGAAGGGTCCTCCCAGGTCTGAGTCCACCTGTAGCCAGACTTCAGTTATGTAAGGACAAGAAAACTGCCATGGAAATTTGCCTTCTCTTCTGGCATATCCTGCCTTTTATTTTCGGTTTGGTTGAAGTAAAAATTCCACATCATAGCTAAAGCAAATAAACAGTTGTGAAGTGAAACTGAGGTTAAATTTCTAAGTTGGCTTTGCTAGTGGTGTCTTCTCTTCCCACTGGTGGTTAATTTCTGGTGAAGCTCTCTTTACTTTTCTCCTCCTTCCTCAAGCCTCACCAACTGTATATGGGTTTATTTTCCTTTCGGCTTAGCATTCCCACAAGCTAAACCATCAGGGCAAGATACCTAACTCTTAGTT